CACAATGTCATCAAATGAGAACAGCCCAGATGAAGAAGGGGTTTCTGTTCTTAAAATTGGGGCATCAGGGGTTTTGGATGTCCCCGGAAGAGGTGGAAAATCCTGGGTATAATCAGTTCTGCGGAATCCAGGAGGAGTAGAAGTCTCCTTTTTTCCACCACTCCTTGATTTGGGCAAGCTGATTTGGGGTTCTTGATCTGCAACTTTCCGCGAACGGATGCGTTTTCGTTTCCGGGCAGAACCTTCCGGAAAACTGAAAGAAACTCCCTCCTCAGCCAAGTCAGAGCCAGACTCGTCATCTGACAAAAGAGCGAAGGGATTTGTTTCGTTGGTCGATGGCCTGGCTGTCTTAAGCATTTCTGCAAAAGACCGCCTGGAACGTTCCTTAAGGGAGCGTTTCATTTTGTCCCCGAGCTGTTTGTACGCCGGGCACGACGAGAGAGCATGAGGAGGAGTTCCATTGCAGTACACGCATTTTGGTGCAGTAGCTGCGCAGGCGCCATCCTCATGCTTCTCCCCGCATGTGGAGCAGCGTGCCTTGTTGCCGCAGTGGGAGGCCGTATGTCCCAACCGCTTACAATTCTGGCAGTTCATGACCCGAGGTACAAACAACCGCACAGGAAGACGAAGTTTTCCCAGCTCGATGTATTGAGGAAGGGCAGATCCAGAAAAGGTCACCCGAAACGAGTCTGTGGGGGTAAAACTCTTTTTACCCTCGCTGAGCGATACTGACTTCATTCTATCAACGGCCAGTATCTTTACCGGAGGAAGCAAGGGGTTCTTGAATCGGCCAACCGCTTGCTTCTCCAGTATCTCGGGGTTCAGGCTCGCCTCAGTGACCACGCCTTCGATCTCCACATCAGAGGCTGGAATGTACACCCTATATTCCAGTGTGAAAAATTGGGAAACAGCAATTTCATTGGCCTGTTTCAGGTTAGCGACGGTCACACGAAGTTTGTTGTGCCTAACCTTCGTTATTTCGGTCACGGCAGAGAATCGCTTTGTCAGATCATCAGATATCTGAACAACATTCAAGGGTTTGTTTTTGGGCTGAAAATAGACAACCCATGGGCCAGTCGAGTCATTCGGGTAGGCCCGCAATCTGGAGCTTTTCTCAGCCTGCCCATTGTCAGACTGAGACGACGAACCATGGATGACATCATCATTTTTCTGTGATGATTGGTCATCCATGTCGTCTTCTGACAAAACATCCATTTTGTTCAACTAGTGGGAGCGCAAAACGCTCTCCCACTGAACGCACAGACACAATACACAGAAAACACTACAAACACAGAAATACAAAATGAAAATTTAACTAATGGGGGAGGAAAAGAAACAAAAAAACAAAAACTTATCTGATAATTCTATACTACTACCACCGAGCGTTATATGTGTAGGCGTTTACACAGATGGCTGGAAGAGACGCGCTGCGTGGATGACCTTCGCTGTGGTGCACTTGATCGAGGCGCGGTTCTCAGCGCACACAGGCGCACGATGATTGATGAACGATGTAGATGTAGAAACGGGTGCTCACACTCGATGATGATGATACGTAAGCGGGTATGCGTGAGCGCGTATGCGTGACCACGCAACGATGATGCCCAAATTGTTTTGCGAATTACCACGGATTAATCGTTCCGAAAATGACACTTTCTACTACAAAAAAAACTCACTTTTCGATCAATTTACCGGGAACTATGCCAGGAGTCACTTAGTGAGAAAAAACTGATAATTTATATCAAGCGAATACCGAGAAAACTTCCAAAACAACGGAGCGCGAAACAAGTCGACCGTACTTCTTGCTAGGACGCAGTGAGATGTGATCCTAGATTGTTGTGCTCTACAAACTGACATCGAGCGTTTAACATCGTAGTGTCAGATGAACGGAATGCAAGCAAACACTGCCAAATGCAAAGTCATTACCTTCACCCGTAGTCACTCGCCGATCATATTTGATTATTCAATGAATCAATTGCGACTTGAACGAGATGATTCTATTAAAGATCTTGGACTTATCTTGGATAGCAAACTCAGATTCAACGAGCAGATATCTATGCCAATTTCAAAGACGAATTCTTAGCTTGGATACCTGCGTCGCAACGCTGCGCAATTCGGAAATGTGCACGCTTTCAAAATCATATTAACTGCAGTACTGTGCTCCGGGACATAAACTTCCATGCTCCAGTCCGTCGTCTCCACAATACGTACCTCTTGTTGACTCCTGGACACCGTACTGCTTATGGCTATAACAATGACGTGTGCGATGCTTTTGATTTTATTATTAGTAAACTAGTTTTTAAGGGGAAGTTCACCGCTTCGAAAAAAATAATTACGTTTTGATTTTTCTAAAAATATTGAAAAAAAAAGTATCAAAAATCTAAAAAAATCACATTTTTTTCTAATTTTTTAAAGAAAATTCACGTGCAAAAACATGTTTTATAAGTCATTATGGCATAAAGTTGGACTCAAAAAACCACAAAACATCAACTTTTCGGTTTTTCTGAGAGTCCAATTTTTTTTCATGATGGGATAGAAAAATTTTTTTTGCATGTAATTTTTGACAAAAATCTAAGGAAGAAACTGATTTTCTTGGATTTTTGATAATTTTTCCCAATATTTTTAGAAAAATAAAAACGTACCGAAAATATTTTTTTTATTTTTGGGCCGGTGAGCTTCCCCTTAAGAATAGTATTAAGTCCCGATTATTCAGTCTGTGTGGCTCCAATGCCAAAGATGGTGATTATAAATATATTTTATGGTCCAGGAATTGAAAACTTTCTTTAGCCCTATACAATTTTCCTGTTTCAGAATTTGAGGAATCTGACTAATGGATATGAAATTTTTTATTAAATCTCACAGTCAATCAATCAATTCTCAAACATTATCTCGGATCTCAAGAAATGTCTAAAGAAACTTCAAAGTCCATTCCAGCTTTTTTAAAAATTCGTGCTTATGGTACGTTATTATTTATCCCAGTAGTGTTCACTGATATCAATTTTTTTAATGAATTATAAAATAGGGTTTTTGATCTAATTTCCGTCTTACTAGGACAACCCGAGCTTTACCTCTCTTTTCGTAACGAATTTAAACGAAAAATGGAATACTTCTGTTAAAGATGACTTTTAAATTTATCCACCTTTCCGTTGGATTTGATAAAGAGTCACAAATTGTTGAGATATTGTTCAAAATCTAATACTGCTTCTTGATTCTAAATTCGTTCTACGAGTTTCAATTCCGTCCTAACGCATTGAAACGCCATTAGATTTTCTTCGTCCCACGGATCAACGTAGAAAAAGGGGATTCGCTAGGAACGCTTCATTTGTTTTGAGAACAATGAGCGTAAATATTCATACACTGCGCTCTAACAGGATTTTTGTTGTAGCTAATGAACTAACGCATCGGAACAAACCTATCATTGATTTGTGCACGGTGAAATCATTGATATTATAGATCTTTTCTGATCGATAGAACGGAAATAAGCGATAACGACGAAGTAGCGCTCTACCCTACCAGAGACTTTGAAAGGCGTTAGAGATCGCACATACAAAACTGAAAATAAAAGCATATCAGTCCCATCTGCAAAAACAGCAAACCGAGAAAAACACTATTGAAAATGCATTTCTCCACATGCTCTTGTACATTTTTAAAATTTGTAAACTTGTGTTCATTTGAAAGCATATTAAATATGCTTACTTTTCTTATGTTGAACACAATGGGCTCTTTAAAATTGACCAAAATGGAAGAACATTAACTATTAGAAGAATTATGGATATTTTCTCAAATAATTTTTATTATTGTACATAAACCATTTTTTGTCAGTCCAGAAAATTAGCAACTTTGTCTCTCATTTCGATTAGATGAGTCCTTTTTGAGCTATGTTTTATGCAAAATTAACGGAAATGCCATTTTGAAACAAATTAGATGAGAGTTAAAATCAAAACGGTCCAAACTCAGCACAAACTTGGTTCATTACTCCTAGTGAACAATTTTGCGAAGGTTCATGCAATTCGGAAAGGTAAAATCTGAAATTCGTTTATTATTTTGCTATTTGGCATGGATTTGTTCTCGGGTAAATGACGGCTTGGGCAATACATTTTCCTATTATCGTCAGGGTAGCCTGTTGAATTCCTTCAGTGCTCATTTTTTACAATAGGATACAATGGATCAGAGCATCGTTCGCGCGCTCTAGGATTTTCTTCACCCTCCTGACGATAATTGGTAACCGTTTTTCCGAAGCCGTAAATTACCCTTCTCAGGTTTGAGAAAAGCTATAATTTACCTACACTGAAAAAAGTTTTCACTTAGTTTCTATTAGGAGCGCACATAATATTTTTCCAATAACAAAAATAATTATTTTTATCTGAATATCCTATAGCATAAGAAATTCTATTTTAGAAATCACATATATTTCATTGGACACATAACGTTCATGTGATTTAGTGGCAGGCTTGCAATTGCTCATAACAGCTAAAATGCTATTTTGCGGTATTATGAAAAAATGGGATACTTTAATGATAATTTTCATTTGTAAGATGCAAGAAGAGGTGGTAAAGTTTGTATATGATATATAAAATTTGTCAATTTTGCTTTCAGAAGGTCAAAACTAGCGATTTTATAATCGCTGATTGCTCATCGTTACAGCTAATCGCTATTGTGACCCTCTGAAAGCTAAATTGACATGTTTTATGTGTCATACACACACACACTTTACCTTCTGTTCTTGCATCTTGTACATAAACATTATCATTAAAATATCTCATAGCTTCATAAATCCGAAAAATAGCAAGTGGTGCAATTTCCAATTACGGGATCACATGAAAGTTATGTGAAATTCACATGGATATTTTCCACTGGTTATGTGATTTATTTTATGAGCGTAGTCTACTGACGGGTTATTAAGACACACATTCAAGAGTATATTCCGGTAAATCTCAGCTCAACAAATTGAGAAAATAGATCTGGGGATGAATTCTAGCTATATTTATACTAAATAAACTTACCTAAATTGCTATCAAACTCCATTGTGTGCGTTCCCGGCGTGTGTGGTCCGGATGGGGTCAGTGTGCGAACCACGTTGGAGTGGTACTCCTCTCGCCTCTCCCGGGTGGTCGTCATGATTTGGGGCCGTTTGTGTGCTCTGAGAAACATAAAAAAGGTCAAACTTTATTAGATCAAGTTGAGGAAAACTCCAGCGCTGCAGATGAATTTCTTAGCAAAAATGTTACCCAGCGAGGAGACGTTTTCGATTTACGTATTTTGCCATCGTCTGTTTGTGTGCGGAAGGACTTTGATGATCCACTTGATGAATACGAAATGTGATTGGAGTTGTTTTTCACAAGCGACATTTGATGGGTGGGCGAATTAAGAAAACAAAGAGTCTGGCTGGTTGTTTCCGAATGATGTCATGTGATTTACTATTCAAATGGCTTCGGAGATGGTCTACGGCGAGGCAGTAACGCCTACCCCGTATTGTTATTGGCAGAGGAAGTGCTAGCGTGTTATTAGGCTTTATGAATGCAGTTTGATTTAATTCGATACACGAGTTTGTAAACAGTCCGAGAAATGGTGCCGTCAGCTTGGATCGGAACGTGTGTAGTTGATGAGGCAAAATATAGATCACAGCCGGTGTGCAACTGATGGGATGGTTGAGGAACCGATTACTATTATTGAAAATGCAGGCGGTGACAATCTGTTTACCTTAATTAAGCTGAGTTTAACTCCGAAATACTCAGATGGAAATTATGCATCATGATGCCATAAATGTTCGCAACTGTTGCTTGTCCAACGATGACGTTGTTAACTTCCGGCTCTCGATATACGTGACCACAGTTTAACAACCTCGTCCAGCTGGCAAGGTTATGTGCAATAAAATCAACACCAAAGGCCCATCACCAGTCATGCAACAACTGACTGCAATGAATAATCCCCTGAAGCTTACGCTAAGTTCAACATGGAACCGCTTGCAGCATTTCGACAGTCACACTATAGAGTGCCAGTGTTACCCAGATAAGCCATAAACCGCTCGAGTTGACCATGAGAGACCTATACTTGGAGAGTCCTCTCCATAAATGGGCGAATCCCCCTTCGATCACTCCTCACGAGTCACAGTCAAGGCAATTGGCAGCCAGCGCCAGCAGCAGCAGCAGTAGGGGAACAAATATTTACTGAACGCGCAGCATCACTGTGGCTTCTCGAATGGTTGTAGCATGGATCATATCAATGGATTGAAACGCAGAGAGCAATGCCAAGACGTGCTCAAGCAAGGGCATCAAGGGGCATGTGCTCAACTGTTCGCTTGACCGATTGACAAATGTAGTATATTTGACATTGAATATAAGAATAACAATTTGCATTTAACAGAATAACCTTTTCTTCTAACTTGATGGGTTCGTCATACGTCCTCAAAAATACTGCATACGCTCATGAGCATTGGACAGCATTGGTCAGGTCGATAATCTGCATGCAACTGGTCGGCGCTTTGACTTCAGACTGACTACTCTTACTGATTGTAGTAGTAGCATGTTTGCCGACAGAGCAAAAAAAAAAGTAGATTGACTGCTACTGCAGGAAGTGCGTTTCAAGCTTTGTTTTTGCTTTGGGATAGAGACACATACACTGAGAGAATTGGATGCCAATGAAGATGCCATAAATGGAGTGTGGCGCTGTAGAATATAAATCGTTCATAAGCGCGCATAAGAACATACACTAGCACTTGATTGACTAGCGTCAGATAGAAGATTTCCCAATCACAGTCGCAAGAAATCCATAAAAAGAAAACTAAATAAAACCCAACTGCGATGAAATGAGTCGATATTGTTCTGCTGAGGTCTTGGTTCATCGTATTCATCATCATCCGCTGTGAGTGTTGCATCCGTTTGGCGTCGCAAAATCCCATTAGCATTTTCTGCGAAATACACATGTCGCCGTAGCAAAAAAAAAAGTGTGGTAATAACTTGTTCCTATCACCTCGAGAATCCATTCAACGTCTAAAGGCAGTTCCGAGATCCGCCAACGCTTTATTGCCTTGCCATTTTGCCATTGCGTCCGTCGTCATCGTCGATGTCGTCGTTAAACGATCGAGGTGAGGAGGTGTACATTGATATTAGTAACTTGAATGAATATGAGACAGTTGAATATAAAGCGATACTCAAGTTGTGGTTCAAAGGATCGGGGGTGTAGAGTGATGTCACCGTTTTTATTCTATCATTATTGGTGACGTCAGATAGGGGTGGGTAATGGGCATTCGAGCTTTGTGGCTTAAAATAAGACTATTTCATTGGTGTTGGGTTGAGCCCTGCAATTAAATACATGAACCGAAAAATAATAAATGCCCCACTGCTCGATGATATTGAAGCCGTCCAGTAGGTGGTCTTGTTTGTAATCACAAACTCAATGGAATCATTGGAATGATAAATTATGTTGTTGTAAACTTTTTGTAATGCAGTGACTGAAATTTTTCGTAATTCGTATGTAAGCTGAAATTTGAATTTTAGTTAATTTTAAATATGACGTCTATCCTCTAAACATGTCAGCAGGTTCTCGGTGGCGTCTGAGACAAAGTTGAGAAGAAGTAGTTGAGAAAAATAGAGTGTTACTGGGAACATACACCCGGTAATTTTTGAGAAGTAATTTTAAGAAAAGAAAAAAGCAATTCTGAAAATTTGTGATGCTGTTCTAATTTATAGGTTGCAATCCAACAAAGCCCTACCCAACAAACAATTGAGAGCTCTTATAAAACACCTGAGTTGATCAAACGTTGAATAAAGGGTTATACGGTCAAAATTTGGTCAATATCAACTTGACGTATTTCTTTCAATTTTGCATTTAAAAAACCTGAACACCCCTCATTTTGAAGGTGTGTGTGTGTAGAATGTTGCTCCTATTTTGATTTTGAAATTCACTCTTCAGTTGTCAAAATGCCGTCCAAGCAAGAAGAGCAGCGTATCAAAATTTTGCTCGCGCATCGCGAAAATCCGAGCTACTCGCACGCAAAGTTGGCAAAATCGCTAAAAGTTGCCAAATCAACTGTTACAAATGTAATTAAAGTGTTTGGGGAACGTTTGTCGACAGCCAGGAAGTCTGGATCGGGGGGAAATCGAAAACCGGAAGCCGCTGAGACGACAAAGAGAGTTGCCGGTAGTTTCAAGCGAAACCCTAACCTCTCTCTCCGAGATGCCGCAAATAAGCTGGGTGTATCGTCTACAACCGTGCATCGAGCCAAAAAACGAGCCGGACTATCGACTTACAAGAAGGTAGTGACTCCAAATCGCGATGATAAACAAAATACGACGGCCAAAGCGCGATCCCGGAGGCTGTACACGACGATGCTGACGAAGTTTGACTGCGTGGTAATGGACGACGAAACCTACGTCAAAGCCGACTACAAGCAGCTTCCGGGACAGGAGTTTTATACGGCAAAAGGAAGGGGAAAGGTAGCAGATGTTTTCAAGCACATGAAACTGTCAAAGTTCGCAAAGAGATATCTGGTTTGGCAAGCCATCTGTACCTGTGGCTTGAAAAGCAGCATTTTCATAGCTTCCGGGACTGTCAACCAAGAAATTTACGTGAAAGAGTGTTTGAATAAACGTCTGCTGCCTTTCCTGAAGAAACACGGTTGTTCCGTACTGTTTTGGCCGGATTTGGCATCTTGCCATTACGGTAAAAAGGCCATGGAGTGGTACGCCGCCAACAACGTGCAGGTGGTTCCCAAGGACAAGAACCCTCCCAACACGCCAGAGCTCCGCCCAATTGAGAAATACTGGGCTATTGTCAAGCGGAACCTAAAGAAGACCAAAAAAACTGCTAAGGGCGAGCAGCAGTTCAAGGCAAACTGGCTTTCTGCGGCGAAGAAGGTGGACAAGGTGGCTGTACAAAATCTGATGGCATCAAGCGTAAGGCCCGGCAATTCGGATTTGGAAAAGCGGAAGCCTAACTGAATATTTTTCCTGAATTTTATACTAATTGAACTTGAAAAAGAAATTTAATTTGATTTTTTAAATAAACGAATTCACCGATTTACACGCGTTTTCCCTTGACCAAATTTTGACCATATCACCCTTTAATAGCTTCCAAAGTTGAACAAGAATGTAGTTGTATTGCCATTTGATTAAAAGTTTTAAAAGCTGTTGGAGCACTCTTAAATGATTGTTTAAGTTCGGTTTAACTATATGCTTTATAAGACCTACGATAACTTTTATAGCACCTTTGTTAAACTGATTGACAAGAGCTATATAGAAAGTGAAATAAACGCATCAAAACAAACCATTGGGAGCTCTTATACAACACCTGAGTTGATCAAACGTTGAATAATAGCTTCCAAAGTTGAACAAGAATGTAGTTGTATTGCCATTTGATTAAAAGTTTTAAAAGCTGTTGGAGCACTCTTAAATGATTGTTTACGTTCGACCAACCACAATTTTGTTGCTAAAAATAGCACAAGTGATAGGCATGTTTATATAACCATAAGGCAATGATTATTCGACTGCAAGAGAAGTTACTCAAGATGAGCTTGATATACTTCTCTCATATGATCAAAATATGTATTCAAGAATAGAGCAGATGGAAACAAAAGCGGCTGGCAATCCGGGATCATGAGTTCGAATCTTGCTTCGAGAAACCTTTGGTGGAGTAGAGGTAAATTATATATAGGTGTTATTAATAAATGCAAACATTAATTTAAGACATATATCATATAATCAACGATATCATTTCTAGATAAATTCTCTCAATTAATGATTAGAGAGATTAATTGAAAGAATATCAATCAAAGATTAAACAGATGCTTGTTACTACTTCCTACATGATCACAGAATGTGAATTATGGCATAATTACATATTTTTTCAATGTGCACAAATAAATTAAACTAATAAAAACTGTACAAGCAATTATTTTGGCGTACCACGACAATTGTTAAACTAATTTTATTCTGTGAATATTGTGAGTACTTACACAACGGTTATTAAGGAGTCATTAAAAAGTGCTATAAACGCTTTTCACCGCTTGCTGTATAGTGATTATTTAGGAGTCATAAAAGAGTGTAACAAACGCCTCTCTAATACATTTCGAAGCAGCTGTTAGGAGGTGTCTACAAACGTTGTATTAGAGCTTTCACCAAAACAATAAAGCTTGAGTTTAAA